GGACAAGTTTGAAACAATCTATTCTCACCTCTCAAGCCTTAGAAATTTCATCAACAATTTCTAAGAAAATATCTACAAAATGACATTTTATTGTGAAGTCATATCAAAGGTAACATTTGTTCACATGTAAATATCATTGGATTTATAATTATCCATTAATCTTAGTCCTCTCAAGTCGTATCTTAAAATGTATGAAGAGGAGTTCCATTTTTTTTTTTTGTTGCTATTGAAATTTAGTTGATAAGCTAGCTAGGGAAAGAAACAGGAACCTCTGCCTGTTGTTATGAAAGCGTTTTAGTTTGTAAGGATACGGCTATGTGTCAAAGACGTGTGGCCAGAGACCCAAACAAAAATGAAAATTCAACAACAGAGGAAAGGCCATAACCACAAGTGTTAAATGATAAAATTGTTTTTTGTTGTAATTGTTGTTGTCACATAGTGTTTGAATGATAGATATAATGAATATTCAAAAAGAAAAAGATAGACACAGAAGCCATATCGTAAAAATGTACGTCAACTCTTTTGGTCTACGCTAAGTTCTCATAAAAGAAGATATATAACCCACTTTGGGATCTCACTCGCAGGTTAAGAATTTTCTACTTTTTTGCTCTAACTTTCTTGAGAAAAAAGATGCAGCCGATCTTCGATGCGGTCCTTGGAAACGACGTTCCAGCTTTTATGGGTTTGGTGGAAGAGAGAGAATCGTGGCTGGAGGAGAGAAGCATGGACCAACACAGCAACACGGTGTTGCACATGGCTGCGAAGCACGGACATGGAGAACTCGTCTCGACGATTATTGAGCTCCGACCATCCCTTGTCTATTCCCGCAACGCAAACGGCGATACACCTTTGCATATCGCTGCTCTCCTTGGAGACGTCAACATAGTTACGACCCTGTTAGACTGTGAATGGAAAACCTGTTCTGCACGAAACAACAACAACCAAACACCTCTCCACTTAGCTTGCCGCAGCATTTCCATCGAGGCTGCAAGACTCGTTGCCGAAGAGACTGATTCAGTTGGCCTCGATGAACTCAACTTCGCCATATCAAGTGGATCCACTTGTAAGTTTCTAGTGTACCACGAATTAGGCTCGTGGTCCTAAACAGAGGAATAAAAGCACAAGTCAAGATTTTTTTCGTAATCTTGTTGTATAAACTCACAGACTAACTATTGTGTTCGGACCATTGTTAGATATTGCAGGGATTATACTAAAGAGATTCCCATACCTAGCTAGGGAACAAGCTTGGGCGGTCGAAGGCAGCTCGCTATCAACGCTATTGCATCATGCGTGTGATAGAGGAGACCTTGAACTGACAAGTATATTGTTAGGTCTCGATCAAAGACTAGAAAAAGCTTTCAACACCGACGGTTTATCTCCTTTGCATGTGGCAGTCCTGAGAGGCTCGGTTTTAATCTTGGAGGAGTTCCTGGAAAAGGCTCCATCGTCTTTTGGCTCTCTCACGCTGTCAAAAGAGTCAGTCTTTCATCTCGCTGCAAGAAACAAAAACACAGATGCCTTTGTTTTTATGGCAGAGAGTGTGGGCATTAACAGCCAAACCATTCTGCAGCAAACAGATCAAAATGGCAACACTGTCTTACATATTGCTGCCTCCATGGTTTGTGGTGCTCCGGTGAGTACTTTTCTTTGGCGCTTTCCTCTTTATAAACCCAAAACACTTTCAGTTACAAAATATAACTGGCGATGATATGCTCTATGTTATGACTATGCAGCTGATACGCTACATTGTTGGTAAGAAGATAGTTGATATCAACTATAAGAACAAGATGGGTTTGACAGCTTGTGACCTTCTCCCTCAAGAAGCTGAAGACTTTGAGTTGTTATCAACCTGGCTGAGGATCAATACCGAGCTGGATTCTGATCAGAAAAATGAAGTACACGATGGCCGCCACTCTAATCCATTCCATAAACGATCTCTGGAGCGCGTTAAACCTTTCGATATCTCCGGAAGCTCTACCAAGCTGGATTCTGATCAGAACAATGAAGTACACGATGGCCGCCACCCTAATCGATTCCATAAACGATCTCTGGAACGCGTTAAATCTTTAGATATCTCCGGAAGCTCTAAAGAGAAGGAGGTGATACGGTTGCTTAGGCTAATCGAAACGAGCACATCAGAGACAGCACAGATAAAACAAAGCAAGAAAAGGGCAGCGGACAGAGTTCGTTTGAGCTTGGAATCTGAGATGTATATAGAAGCATTACAAAATGCAAGAAATACGATAGCGATAGTGGCAGTCCTTATTGCTTCAGTTGCTTATGCCGGCGGAATAAACCCTCCGGGCGGCGTTTACCAAGACGGGCCATGCAAAGGAAAATCGACTGTAGGCAAAACAACAGCCTTTAAAGTCTTTGCAATATGCAACAACATTGCACTGTTCACGGCGTTGTGCATTGTTATTTTGCTCGTTAGCATCATACCTTACAAGAGGAAACCGTTAAAGGGATTACTGGTGGCCACGCACAAGATGATGTGGGTTTCTGTAGGGTTCATGGCAACGGCTTATGTTGCAGCGTCTTGGGTGACCATACCGCATTCCCACGGAACAAGATGGTTGTTTCCCGCCATTGTCTCCATTGCTGGTGGATCGTTGATGCTACTCTTTTCCTATCTTGGAGTTGAGACCATCGGTCATTGGTTTAAGAAGATGAAACGTGTAGGAGATTTACCGGTTTATCTTATCAGAAAAAAGTGTGTAGGAGATATACCTCCCGTTGCAAGGACTAGCTCAGACCATCTTGCCGCCTCCAGAGTAAATAAAAGTGAAGGAAAGATGCCTTCCTTAGCAAGGACCATCTCAGATTTGGCCGCCTCCAGAAATTCAGGCTATTTCACCTATTGAATCTTTTGGAAAAATTGTTTCTTTTTCGTGTCCAATGGTCCTCCCACCTCTGATCAAGTTTCCGCAGATGAGTATTAGTAAGGAAAAAACAACTGAAGAAAACTTAGGAGCTGTGTGTAGCCTTGTAAGGAGAGACATTGAGATTCTTGTTTTTTTCTTAAAATTGGCGAGTGAAATGTCTCGTTTTCTTTCTCCTATTGTTCAGCTCATGCCTATATAGCAAATCCCAAAGAAAGTTGATTCACGGAAGTGATTTAGATCAAATTTACTGACACAATATGTACTGACCTAAACATAGAGATTGCACAGTAGTTCTTGTCTGAAACAATCTAACTCACCTCTGAAGCCTTAAAACAGCACACTATAAGCAGGGATTTTTCGGATTCCAGCTTGTATCATGACTTTCCTCATCTGTTCTGCTTCTGCCCAATTGCTTTCCAAAGCACTTAATGTTGACAATGCCACATACTGGCCACAGTGTTGAGGTTGCAGTCCAATAAGCCATTTACCTACTTTATTTCCTAATTCAGCATCTTCATGAATCTTGCAAGCACCCAAAAGAGCTCCAACAACAGAAGCATCAAGCTCGAATGGCAACTTCTTTATGAAATTAACAGCGTCAACCAATAATCCAGCTCTGCCAATGAGATCAACCATGCAACCATAATGCTCTGATGTTGGAATGATCTTGTACTCACTACATATGGAAATGAACAACTGGATACCTAAGTCCACAAGTTTAGATCGAGCACAAGCCGTGAGTACTGCAAGTAAAGTGATCCCATTCGGATGCACATTCTTTGATTTCATCATCTCAAACATCTCTAACGCTTTCTCAGGTCTACCATTGGAGGCAAGAGCTGATATTACCGCATTCCAAGTGCAAACTTCTTTATCTTTATCACGAATTTGATCGAATATGGTCAATGCCATCTCCAAGTGACCGGCTTTTCCATACAGATCAAGCAAAGCAGTACCCAAAGTAGTAGTAAGAATGATCTCTTTCCTCATAACATATCCATGAATCTGCTTCCCCAAATGAACACCTCCTCGATCCAAATTAGCACACGAAGAAAGTACACTAACTAAAGTAGCCTCAGTCGGGGTTATCACCACACGATTGTTCTCTATCATCTCACCAAAAAGCATTACAGCTTTAGCATGTAACCCGTTCTTACTAAACCCGTTGATAACAGTAGTCCAAGAGACCACATCAGTTACAGGCATTCTCTGAAACAACTCGAAAGCAGAATCCATATCTCCGTTTCTTCCACAAGCATCAAGCATACTGTTACAAGCTATAACACAAGGGTCTACAATATCACCAAACATCTTCCTCGAGCTTCTGAAATCAGCAACTTCACCATAAAAACGAACAAAAGAAGTCTGAATAAAAGGGTCCCATAAAACACCTCGTTTAAGAGCTTGCCCATGTAAGGAAACACCATAAGAAACAGAGAAGGAAGAGCAAGCTGCTTTTATAAGAGAAGGGAAAGTGAGGTTGATTGGTTGGACTTGGCTTACAAGCATGTGAGTGAAGAGAGCAAGAGAAGTCTTGTACTGTCCTGTAGTGAGATAAGATCGTATGAGCGTGTTGTAGACGAATTTCGTCTTCCATCTCGAAGAAACCAAAGCGTTGGTGGTAATGAGGACACTGTGAATCTGCTTAGTCTGGTTTGAGGAGTTGAAGAAACGTTGGAGAAGATGAAGTGCGTCTTCAAGAGACAAACTGAAACTCAAGAAGGGTTTACAAAGCATGCAACTTTACAAAGATTAAACAATCTACAAAGAATTTTTACAGATCAGAAGAGTGAAATTGGAGAGAAATTGAGCCCCAAAAGACGATCAAAGTTTTCTAATTTGTGTCGCTCCGATTTGGAGTCTCCGAGGTCAAGAGGTCAACCAACTATGCTTCTCCGGTTTGATATGGTATGATCCAATTTTATATCGATTTCATTCGGTTTTTGTATTTTAATTTGATTTGTTAGATTATTCGGTTTCGGTTCAGGCTAGCCGGATTGGCACTCCTGAATTTAGGCATGTCAAAGCCCGAAACCCGGTCTGGCCCAATCTTTAAAAATATCGGATTCGGACCTGAATATATAAGCCAAAAAAAAATTGGATCTTTCGGACTCAACCCATTCGGGCTATTGAGTTTTTGAACTTTAGTCCGATTGGGCTCGGGCCGGCCCGGAAAGTCCGAAAATAAATATGTAATTTATAAATTTAATAATAAATTTTGTTTAAAGATATTTTTTAAAGATAAATTGATTAAAATAATTTATATATATGTAATTCGTTGGCCAAAAACTCTTATTCTACTACTTGG